GACCTTGCGCTTGCCAGGCAGGCACTTTTGCCGCTGAGCTAAATCCCCAGCCCCCATCTCTGTTAATTTATTCATCTCCCCTTTATATTTAGCTTTGCAAAATTAGACATAAACTATTTCTTTGCAGAATTATTTTAGTTATATTTTTATAGTTTTCTGTTATTCTTATATTGTATCAGATAAAATTCAATCAAAAGTCCATCATTTGGGAACCAATTTTCTAGTTTTTTTGCATCATTGGTGATTGACCTTTGCATTTGGTAGGGGGACTAAGAATCAGTTTTCTTTGAAGTCAAAATTTTGAGTAAAGGGAGACAAAAGAAAAAATATTATATATATATATACTATTTTATTTTGTACTGGGAATTGAATTTAGGATCTTGTACTTGCCAGGCAGGCATTGTGCTGCTGAGCTATATCCCTGGCCCTAAAAATATTCAAATGAACTATTTGTTTTTCTGTTGGTTTATTTTGGGACAAAAACTACTGGAGAAAATATACTTCCTATTGTTTTAAAATCTCTTAGGCATTGCCGCCTAGGCTTAGGAATATCTGTGAGTATCAGAAGGTCAGGAGCGTTTCCATCCTTTGGGGCCGTGTTTCCAGAAGGAGCTGGAGTTCCGTGTCACCAGTGACCAGGCAGGATCCGAGGAGCAGGGAGGCACCCTCACACACTCATAGCCCTCAACAGTCCCCGACAGCTGTCATATCCACAACGTAGAATTATGGAACCCTCAACTTTTAGTGGTAGGAAACAGCCTGGAGATATACTACTGCCATCTCACAAACCAATCTTTGGTCACCAGAATTGCCTGAGGAATAATTTTAATGTGACTCACATGGAAGGCCTCCTAAATTGGAATTCTGGTGACGAGACCTCCCAGAAACTTGTGTTTTTAATCATCAACTCTCATGAGTCTGTGAGCATCCAGGTGTGGACCCCAATTACTGTCTAGAACTTTAAAGGGTCTGATATTTTGCTCTGTCACAAGCTCTCTAGTCAGCCCGACACAAGTTCATGGACGCTGGCGGAATATGCAAGAGCCCTGAGGCAGAGAGGAAGGACTTCATCACTCAGAGCAGTGGCAGTAGCCACAGTCCAGCATTTCTGCACCGTCCCTAGCTTAATCCCCAATCCTCACCAGGAAAGAGAAGAGGGCCAGGTGATGCCAGTAGAAGAACTGGGGTAAGGCACACAAGAAGAAGGCTGGGCTGGAGGAGCCTTTCTTCTGTGATGGGCAGCTGAGCGAGTGCTTGGGGACGACACCATCTCAGTCTTCTAAGGCTGTTTCCTGTATTGGCGCCCTTGAAAAAAAATAATCAGAACAAAGCTAATCAATTCCTTTGCTCACAAGGCATGCAAAAATATGATAGCTCCAGGAAGACTATCTCCCTGGAACAATCTAGTCCAACTCTTTTAAGAATAAGGTAATCAAGGCCCAGAGAGCATTTCATTGGTGACCCCAGGGGACTTATCCAAGAGCCCCTTCTTTCTATCTCTGCTCCATTCATGCTTTCCCAAGCACCTTCCTTTTCTCTGGCATGGATGCTCTGAAGTTAGTAAGCTGTCAGAGATGAAATAATTGGACGGAGGGTTTGCTGAATGAATGATGAAATTACTGCTCAGTAACTGCAAAATGCAAATGTTCAAGGCAGCCAAGAGAGAATTTGAAATGGAGGTAATAGCACATTCATCACCAGCCTGAGCTGCTTTCCTTGATCCTGTTTGGCTTGAATTATAATGCAATGGACAGGACCAGCCTTTCATTTAAACTGAATTGGAAATGTGGTCCTTGACTTTGTAAGCAGAGTGAGTTTTTGAAGATCTTTGTTGTTATGTATCCTGTTATCTTTCTCTAAAGGGGAAATTACTGTGTATTAGAAAATGAGAGGAATCATTAATTGCTTTATAGTTAGCTTTATGTAGGTATTTTAGTGTATTTTAATAGAAAAAGTAAAACAAATTGATCCAAATCTACATAAGCCATCTAGAAATGCTTATCAAACAAAGTGAATAACAAATTAAACAAATTGTTAAATAAATATGCCTAAACATTGAGCATTGAGTAACATTGAAGGCAAAGAAAAATCGTGGACAAAACAATAGGATTCAATACGTAATACTGGGCTTTGAAAAGATAAAATTCTGACACTTTAATAGTAACTTAAAAATCAGAATAGGCGAATACTAATTTTCACTCTTTGTGAAAAAATGTCAACCTAGAAATCCATGTAAAATATCACTTACTTCTGGGGCACTAATTAAGGGAAATGTTACTGAAAATAAGTAAATAACTGTTGGCACCACTTAAGGAATTGCTTAAATTTTCTTGTTGCAGATATGCTGCCTGCCCTGGAGCTGTGGTATAGCCTAGTGCTTTAGTATAATCTTAGAACTTTAGCATTATCTAGTGATTATAGAACATTGATATTTATGAGAAACATCTTGAAAATTTCTTAAATCCTTATATGTACATATACACTGTAGCAGTTTTTTAAATTAAGAGCTATCATTTCAAAGATCCAATGTCTGTATTACTCCTTGTATTAACCCATGTGTGACTGCAAAATGAGAATGCTAAAGTTACCATCAGTTGCACAGTCCTGAAGAGTCTGTCCCCTCCAAAGCATGGCACTGTGTAAAACACTTCAAACCATTCCTCAGAAACTAACAAGCCACCATGTCTGATAGATCTTTGGAGTTGCTCAGAACCAATCAATCCATGACCCTTATATCTGAATGCCAAAAGGCCTGCTATTTAATACAACAGTATAAGACATGTGTATGTACATCCGGATGATTAATGCTGTCCTCTTTTCCCTCAAGAACAAGGACATTCCAGTGGAAGAAAAAGTTGAGCCTGCCCCAGTGAGAAGGATTCTGAAGTTCAATGCTTCAGAATGGCCCTACATGGTGGTAGGAGCCGTGGGTGCAGCCGTCAATGGGGCAGTCACGCCCCTATATGCCTTCTTATTCAGCCAGATTCTCGGGGTAAGCAAGCAGCTGGAAAAGCTTTATTCTCCTCACTTCTTTTTGTATGAGTGGTTGTTAGCATATTTGCTAGGTCAACTCTTTGTTTTAATATACTTAGCTCTTTGCTAGGTCCTTTTCCTCATGTCTAAAAGATGAAAATTTCACTGAGTCTCTACCACACAGAAGGTGAGAAGGTAAGGTTGAGCACTCTTGAATGGACTCCCAGGGTGCTCGTGCAGTTATCATGCGCTTAGTTACCCTCGGGGCAGTGGGTGTAGCTCATGCCCTGAGCGCCTGCACAAGGTCCTGGATTCAGCTCATAGCACATACACGCACAAAATACAATCACTTTGAATAGGGAAGCTTAGCCTTATGCAAACCAAATCAGAATGCAAAGCAGGTGCGCTGAATAATATGAAAGGATTTCAGGGCAGTTTTTAATCTTCCTAAATAGCTAAGGTACAGAGTTTGTCTTTTAACAGCAGGTGTTAGTATGTAAGGTGTAATTCTCTGTTCTCTTACTGATTGTACTAAAATGAGAACATGCAGGGGAAGTGAGGAAAAGCAAGAAAGAAATAAAAATAGGCAGAGATAGATAAGTTTTACTTTACTTTTTACTCTTAGGAGTTTTGCTATTCTTTATTGGATTTTATTACTATAATAATAAATACAAACCTTTACAAGGTATTATCTAAGCACTTTATGTGTAATAGCTCATTGATGCGTCCTAAGACCCAAGTGAGAGAGGGAGTCTTATTATTCTAATTTTATAAAGGAGCAAATCAAAGCTCAGAGAACTTAGGACAGCAAGTGTCAGAATTGGAACTCAGTCCTAGCAAGTCTGACTAGAGAGTCAGGTTCTGAGAAGTCTTATTATTGGTCTTATTTTGGAAAATTAGTCATCAAAATGATGACATAGTTTTAGTGGACACTTTACACACCCAGTGAAGTCAACAAAGAAAAAAAGCCTAGAGCCTAAAGAACATTAGGAACATGTTCAAGGTGAAGCATCCAAAGGATTCTCCGGTGTACCACTTTGGCAGAGCTTAGTGAGAAGAGCTTATGTCTTAGCTCATTCCTCTCCATCTCTCATCACCTCTCTAATAGAAGTCCTGACCATAAAAATATTCCTATGGGCATGAACTGTACAGAAAAACCTGGATAACCAACACACAAAATCAAGTCAGTTGTGTAGGTCCCTAGCCAGTACTTTAATTTTCACACTGCCTCCTTGTGGTGAGTATTGTGTAGTAATTTGCAGGGAGGTAGGAAACTGGAATCAGAAGGGACCTTGAGGAAACTGATCCTTGGTTACTGGTGCAACAACCTTGTATGCTGGACATCCTTTAAGTAATTCATTTACGTTCCTTAATTTCCTAGTAAATAACATCCAAACATCAAGTCATAGTCTTTTACTCAAAAGAGTTATGTTAGACACCATGTTAGAGACTTGAGAATGCCATGTCAGTTATGGTAATTTCCTCAAGACAAACATTAAATATAAAAACGCATCCACCATGCAACAGATACGAATAGATCACTTGCTATCTCCTAGGCACCGCTACTGGTGCTGGGCAAGGGATGGAGGGCAGGAAGGTCTGGCTCTCCCTGGCCTCCAAAGCTGCCACCCTGGCAGGGAGGGGCTCTGAATGTGAATCTCAGTGATAATGAGGCAGTTTTAGCAGGTGGAGGGGATGGAGGGAATCTGAAAAGATAGAAGCCTGCATCCTCTATGTCTGCTTTTTAAAGGAAACTCAGAATGCCAGCTTCTTTGCTAGTTATTCTTTCTGACCAGTAAAAGCAGAATAAATTTTATTTATTTATTTAGTTTTTGGCGCTGGGAATTGAACTCAGGACCTTGCGCTTGCCAGGCAGACGCTTGTGCCACTGAGCTGTATCTCCAGCCCCAGAATAAATTTTATATGCACACAACTTCACCCAAACCATGTTTATGAGCCGCTGTCAAAAGAGTCCTGAATTCCCTGCCAGGACAGCTTTCCTCTGAAGCCGGTTCTGCTACCTGCTTACCATATCCTATGTGCCCACTTCTCTGGGCCTAAGTTTCCTCAATCATGAAGTGAAAGACGACGAAAAGCTCTAAGAGAATTCCTCTTTATTGCTCAGCAAACCACTATCTTCCCTCGCTAATGAAGAAGATTGCTTTTCTGTTTGTCTCAGCATCATTATCACTCCTGATGCTCTCCTCTCACAGGCTGTGATCCTGGGCCTGCTTTTCCTCGCTCTGTTTCATCTGGATATACCTACAGGGCAACATCTACACGTGTGGTGTGGAGAGATCACATTGTGGGACACGGGCCGGCAAATGACTGAGCACTATTAGGAGCCGAATGCCCACCTAGCTGAGCCTCAGTAGCCACATAAGACATAATCTATCTGTTTCACCTTCCCTGTGCCTGTCTGACTTGGGAAATGTGTCAAGGGTAACAACTACTGCAATTTGGGTGTAACATGCTAGACAAAAGCAGAGCTTTGTGAGTTAGCTAGACCTGGATTTGTTGTAGGTCTCTGCTTGTACTATCTGTGCCTGTTTGAGAAGGAAGTTATCTTTGCTGAGACTTAGTTTCTTCATCTGTGCAATGAGGGAGAAAAACTCTACCAAAATTGACTGTTTCAAGAATCCTAATTTAAGGAAATCCTAATTTAAGTTAAAAGTTTTGCCACACCTTTGACATCTGGCACATAGCAAGTTTAATGGATATTTATTTTTTCCTTAAGCACATTTACTATTCCAAAAATAGCGAAGATGTGCTCCTGAACTCCAGCCAGTCTAACCGCCCAGGAGTCTATGGACAGGTAGCCCACTGGACTGCATGTCAGTAATAAGAATGTACCAAGAACTCATGGAGCACAGCATTGTGGGAAAAAGCTGTGGATAGACTAGATGCTCAATATCACAGAACAGTTGTACAGATTTCTACATTAGCTAAGTACTCTTTTTCTTAACACTGAAAAATTGAGAAGATGGAAAATGCCAGAAGCCAAAAGAACATGCCCAGAAGAAAACCACTGTATTGGAGGCTGGAAGATAGGCATTTCCTTGTCCAAGCAAAACTCCTAGCTGAAGGAATTTAGGTGCACACTTGACATTTTGAGCTTCTGTTTTCTATCAATAAAATAAGAGCTAGATGGGCTAAATCTGAATTCTGTAGTTCATGGTGATGCTGAGTGCCCTTCAGGAAGAATGAAAACAATGGCACCATAGGTTTTTTTTTTTTAGTTTGATAACAAAATTAAGAAGAAGGTACAGAGATTTCTCAAATACTCTTTGCCATTCTGGGCTGAGGTGCATTTGCTAAAATTGATGAATCTACATTAACACTTCAAGATCACCCATTATATTAAAGTTCATTCTTAGTGTACTCCTATAGGTTTGGACAAATGTATGTGTTAAGAGAATTTTTACTTAAACATATTTGAATGTATTTATCATGTACTGTTCATAATAATAAAGTTTCTTTTTTCCTTGCTTGTTCTCTCCCAAAGACTTTTTCACTTCCTGATAAAGAGGAGCAGAGGGCACAGATTGATGGTGTGTGCCTACTTTTTGTAACAATGGGCTGTGTGTCTTTTTTCACCCAATTTTTGCAGGTAAGGAATTTTATTTTTCATTAAGTGATGTAGCTGTTTTCCCTCCTTTTTATTTTAAAGTTTCACTGAAGACTCCTTCTTTATGTTTTAGGGATATACTTTTGCTAAATCTGGAGAACTCCTCACAAAAAGGCTGCGTAAATTTGGTTTCAAGGCAATGCTAGGGCAAGACATTGGTTGGTTTGATGACCTCAGAAATAGCCCCGGGGCGCTGGCCACAAGGCTTGCTACGGATGCTTCCCAAGTTCAAGGGGTAAGCTCTGTCTGTCTTAGTCCACTTAGGGCACTACAGCAAAATACTTTTGCTGGGTAATTAGTAATAGAAATTTATTCCTCATAGCTCTCTGGGTTAGGAAGTTTGAGATCAAGGCACCCACAGATTCAGTGTCTGGTGAAGGCTCATTCTCTCAGATTCCAAGATGGACCTTCTCTGCATCTTCACCTTGGAAAGATCTAAGGGGCTAGGATAAATGGCCTTGATCCTATTCACGAAGGCAGAGTCTTTATAACTGAATCAACTCCCAAAGGCCCCCATCACTTAATTCTACCACAGTGGGTATTAGGCTTCAATATGAACTTTGGAGGGCCATGTTCAGACTATAGTGGGGGAAACCTGGGGTATATTAACTGGGGTAGGTGATCTTACCATGGGACAGTCTGATAATCACTTGCATTTTTTGTCTAGAATAGTAACTACTGGGATTGCAGAAATTTCCTACCATTTATAATGCTGAAAAACAGAAGCAGAAGCCTAGAATCAGTGTTATGGTGCATGTCACAGGTTAACAGCATTGGGCATTTCCTCTGCACATACAACTGAGAAAGATTTTCCCGAAATTCCTTTCTCAGACTACTTTCAGGCCCAGAAGTTTAGATTTCCCAAAACCCAATACTACCCTCCCCTCCCAAACATTTCCTCTCGTTTACTTAGTAATTATAGAGTTCCAGATCTTACTTAAGGTCTTTGATCCATTTTGAATTGGCTTTTATATGAGATGAGAGATGGGGGTCAAGTTGCAATCTCCTGCATGTGTATATTCTGTTTTCCCAGCGCAATTTGTTGAAGAGGCTTTTTTTCCTCTATGGGTATTTTTGGCAACTTCATCAGAAGTTAGTTGGGTATTGATGTGTGGATTTATTTCTAGGCTCTCTATTCTGTTTCACTGGTCTTTGCTTCTATTTTTTTGCCAATACTAACTTACATTTGTTATAGTGGTGTAGTATGTCTGGAAATCACCTATCTTTTAAAATTAATTTTATGGGTATTCTTTTGATATGCATAGTGATCACATTCATCATAGGGAATTTGTACCTGTAGATAATATGTCTTGATTCTTCATTTTTTTCCCCCATTACCCTCCCTTCCCACAGCTTTTGTAAATGGGGATGGGAAGAAGGGAAATCACCTTTTGTGATACCTACCACTTTGCTCTTTTTACTGAAGAGTGCTTTGCCAATTCAAGGTCTTTAGTGCTTCCACATGTATTTTAAGATTTTTTTCCCAGTTCTGTGAAAAAGGTCATCGGTATCTTGGTGGAGATTGCTTTGAATTTGTAGATTGCTTTGGGTATTTTTGACATTTGAAAAAACACTAATTTTTCCAATCCATGAACATGGGAGGTCTCTCTGCCTTTTAAGGTCTTTCTCAATTTGTTTAGTGTTTTATAATTTTCATTGCAGAGATCTTTTATTCCTCTAACTTAGCTTTTTCCTCTGTGTATGTGTGTGTGTCTGTGTGCTTTTGTGAATGGGATTGTGAAGGTTTCCATGATTTTTTCTAAGCAAATTTATCACTGGCTTGTAGAAAAGCTACTGCTTTTTGTATGCAGATTTTCTATCCTCCTACTTTACTAAATTTATGTTTTAATAGACTTTTGGTGGGATCTTTAGGTCTGTATGAAATCATCACTTGCAAACAGGGGTAATGTGACTTCTTCCTTTCCAATTTGTATTTCATTTCTGTCTCTTGCCTAATTGTTTTGGCTAAACTTTCTAGTACAGTAATACCTTGGTGATGAATGCTTTTGTCCTTGAATAATTTTGTTCATGAACAGAAGCATTCAGCAAAGTTTTGCTTCCATTCTTGAACTCTGCATTGGGTGACAAACACAGCCACAAGCATCTTCCTCTCGTGAACTCGAATGTGGCCATCTTCCTTGCTCTGACACGTGGTCATGGCTTCCTCTAGTTGAGGTAACAGTCACAGACCTGTTCACACCTCCTGTGAAGCCTTTGTGTGTGCTTTTTAGCTCATACAGTATTGTGCATTATTATTCAATCCAGTACGGATCCAAAGAAAGTGCAGAGAAAGCATGGGGTAAAAAAAAAAGTGCAGAACAGTAATGAAGGTGACAAAAAAGTGCACAGCAAGAATGGTAAAAAGGTTTTGAAGAAAATGACCACTGAACTGAAGAAAGAAATTGTAGAAAAGTGTGAGTGTGCTATTTGCGGGACTGAGCTGGCCTTGGAGTACAAGATTGCAAAGTCAACAGTCGAGACTATTTTGAAGCATAAAGATGTCATCAAAGGAGTTGATGTGGCAAAAGGAGTAATGGTGTTAGCTGAGCAGAGGACGCAGGTGCTGGAAGACGTGGAAAAACTTTTGTCTGTGGGGCTGAGTGAGAAGCAGCTGGCAGGTGATTGTGTTAGTAAAGCAATGATCTGTGGAATAGCCAGGAAGTTGCACAGTGACTTACTGCAAAAAGACCCCTGTCCAGATGCAACAAGTGATGAATTTAAAGCTGTAGAGGGTGGCTCCTCTGATACATTCCAGAGAAGTGGCATCCACTGTGTGATAAGACATGATGAGGCTTCTGGTTCTGACAAGGTCACTGCCGAAGCCTACAAGGAAGAATTCATGGAATTAATGAAGGCAGAAGGATACGTCGCTCAACAAGTGTTCAACTGCGATGAAATGGCTCTTTGGAAGAAGATGCAGAACAGAACCTATATCTCGCAGGAGGGAAAAGCACTGCTGGGCACAAGCCCATGATGGACAGATGGACCCTTTTGCTGTGTGTGAATGCAAGCACCAATCTGAACATTAAGCCGCTACTGGTGAATCATTCCCAGCTCCCTCATGCATTCAAGGAACAGGATATGGACAAGGCCAGACTGCCTATCATGTAGAAGGCCAGTGTGACAGCTTGGGTCACAGGGCAATTGTTCATGGAATGGCTGCATGAGGTGTTCGCACCCACTGTTAAGAAATATCTTTCTTCCAACCAAGTGTCTGAAAGGTGCCTTCTGATGGACAGTGCTCCAGCACACCCTCCAGCCGTGGTGAATGATATGGACACTGAGTATGACTTTGTAAATGTCAAGTCCCCCGCACAACACAACACCTCTTCTGTAGTGCATGGACCAGCAAAGGATCTGCAACTTCAAGAAATTGTACACAAAAGCCCTTTTCACCAGGTGTTTTAATGTCACTAGAGAGATGTCCTTGACTCTGGAAGAATTCTGAAAGAAACATTTCAGTGTGCTCCACTGCATCAACTTCACTGACAAAGCCTGGAAAGATGTCGTGTGCCAGGCCTTAAACAGCCCGGAGGAAACAGCCAGAATCTGTGACTGAACCTGACTTCGAAGGGTTTGATGCACAGAGAGTGGAGGAGATTGTGTCCATGGGCAAGAGTATGGGTCTGGATGTCAGTGACGTAGACACAGAGGAGCTTGTTGAGGACCATAAGGAGGAGCTGACCATAGGAAAACTTGCTGAACTCCAGAGTGAGCAGCAGAAGGCACTTGATGAGGAGCATTCCGCCAAGGAAGAGGAAGACAGGGAGGAGGGTGGCAGTGATATGATAAAATCCACTATGGAGAAAGGGAGTGAATGCTAGGATTTCTTTGAGAAGCACCACCCCACCATAAGTGTAATGAACACAGTGCTGAATCACATAAATATTTGATAATGTATTCTGCAGCACAGAAGAAAAACAAGTGACATTAGGATTTTTCATCAAAATTGACCCAGCAGCTCAGAGACAAAGAAGAGAGGAAACTCCTGAAGGAGAACTTCCCAGTGTCCTCATGGAGGTGGGGGGGTCCTCCCTCCAAACAATAACCTGCTCCCCACCCACCTTTCTGTCCTCCAAGCCAGAAGTCAGCTCGAGCAGTGCTAATGTTCTCTTTCTTCTTACTGTATAGTACTGTATTTTGTTTTAAGTTTTGTGATTAAAAACACTGTTCAAAAAAGATTAACCTTATTTACATTAAACCTTATGTGAAAATTTGACTTGGTTTGCAACCAGTTCATTTGGCAGCCAGAACTGTGCAATGAATTAAGTTCATGAAGTGAGGTTCCACTGTACTGTACTGAATGAGGGCAGTGACAGCAGGCACCTTTGTCTTGTTTCTGATCTTAGAGGAAATGCTGTTGGTTTTTCCCCACTCACTGTGAGGTTAGCTATGGTTTTGTCATATGTAGTTTTTATTATGATGAGGTATGATCCTTCTATGTTTAATCTGTCCAGGGCTCTTATCATGAAGGAACGTTATCAGATAGTTTTATGCATATATTGAGGGGATTATATGATTTTTTAATTCCTCTTTTGATTTATGTGATTATATTTATTGATTTGTGTACTTTGAACCATCCTTGCATCTCTAGTATGAAACCAATGTGATAATGGTATATTGTCTTTTTCATGTGCTGTTGATTTTAATTTGTAAGGAATTTTTATGTCTTTGTTTATCAGGGATATTGATCCATAGTTTTCCTTCTCCACTTCCTCCTTCCCTTTTCCCTTCTCCTTCTCTTCCTCCTCTTTAATCTCCTCCTCCTCCTCTTCCTCCTTCTTCTTTTTATATCCTCCTTAGGATTTGATAGCAGGCTAATTCTCACCTCATACAATGAGTCTGTAAGGGTTCTCTCCCTTTTAGTTCTGTGCAATAATTTGAGAAGCATTGGTGTTATTTCTTGATAAAATTCAGCAGTGAGGCCATCCAGTCCTGGGCTTTTCTTGGCTGGAAAAGTTTTTCTTGGTTGGAAAACTTTTTCTTGCTGGTTCCAGAAGTTTGTTTATTTCACCTAATTTTCTAATTTTAGCATTTAGTTTTTCAAAGTAATCTTTTTAAGTTTCTGTGGTATCAGTTGGAATGTCTTTTTCATTTCTAATTTTATTCATTTAGATTTTCTCCCCCAACCCCAGCTAAAGGTTTATCAGTTTTGAACCAAATCTTTGTTTCATTGACCCTTTGTATTTTTTCAACTCTATTTCATTTGTTTCTGCTCTGACCTTTGTCATTTCTTTCCTTATACTCTTTTTGAGTGTTTTCTTCTTGCTTTTTGAAGACCTTGAGCTGCATCATTATGTTGTTTATTTAAGGTCTTCCTATTTTTTCATAAAGCCACCCATTTCTATAAACTTCCTTCAATGTACTGCTTTTGCCATATCCTATATGCTCATTTATTTTTTTGTTTTAGTATCAGGAATTGAACTCAGGGCCTTGCACTTGTCAGGCAGGTGCTTGTGCCACTGAGCTATATTCTTGGCCCAATATCCTATAGGTTCTAGTATGCTTTTTTTCCAGTTTTATTTGTTTGAAGGAACTTTTAAATTTCTCTTATGACTTCCTCAATAACCTGTTTATTTAAAAATGTGTTATTTAGTCCCCACGTATTTGTATAATTTATATAAGTTTTGTTGCTGTTCATTTCTAGTTTCATTCTTTTATGATCAAAAAAGATACAAGCTATGATTTCAATCTTTTTTGAATTTCTTAAGGCTTGTTTTGTGGCCTAATATATAGTGTATTTTAGAGAAAATTTCATACATCGATGAAGAGAATGTGTTAGTCTATTTCATTCATAATGTAGCTTAATTCTTATGCTTTTAAAATGATTTTTGCCTGGATGATCTAGTTGTGAAACTAGGGTATCAAAATCCCCTACTACTATTGTATTGGAGCCTAGTTCTCCCTTTAGGTCTAATAGTGTTTGGTGTATAAAATCCAATATTAGGTGCACATAGATTTATAATCATTGTATGTTCTTTTTGACATTGTCATTTGATCATTATACAGTGACTTTCATTGCCTCTTCTCACTGTGTATAGTTTAAAGTTTATTTTGTCAGATGTAAGTATGGCTGCTCTGCTTTAGTTTGGATTCTATTTGCTTGGAATATCATTTTCCATCCATTCACTTTCAGGCTGCATGTTTGTTTACTGGTGATGTGAATTTCTTGTAGGAAATACATTTTAGATCTTGGTTTTGGATCATTTCAGCCAGTCTAAATGTTTAATTAGAGAATTAAGACCACTTACATTCAGAATTATTAATGAAAAGTATACATATGTGCCTATCATTTTGTTGATTTTCTTTAAGTTGTTTGAATAGTCTTTGATTCTTCCTCTTTTATTCATCTTTGTGGTTTGATGGTTTATTGTCGATGACTCCAGATTCTCTTCTACTTCCCCATTGTGTATCTAGTCTTCTAGTGGGATTCCTGCTTTCACATGCTATCAAATTGGTGGTCACGTGTATCTTTCTCACACTTCTGGTTGTGGAACTCACTTAAAAATAGTCTTTGTAATGCTTATCTGGTCACCATTGATTCCTCTAGCTTTTGCTTATTTTGGAAGATCTTTATTTCTCCTTTGATGCTGAAGGATACCTCTCTTTGTGATGTTCGCGGTTATTTTCTTTTAGGACTCAAAATACATCATTCCACACACACCCCACCCCAGCCTGTAGGATTTCTGCTGAGATATATGCTGTTAGTCTAAAGGGGTTGCCCTTAATTGTGTCCTCACATATTTCTCTTGCAAATTTTGAATTCTCTCTTTGTCTTGGACGTTTGAAAATTTGACCATAATATGTTGTAGTGAGGGTCTTTTCTGGTCATGTCTTTTTGGGGTTATGTAGGCCTCCTGTACCTGCTTTTACATCTTTGAATAGATTTTCTATGTCCTTAACTCTCATTTCAATAAGTAAACTCACACTGTTGTCCATCCATCACCACTATCCATCTCTAAAGCTTTTCATCATCCTAAACAGAAACTCTACACCTATTGAATAGTAACTTCCCATCCTGGTCCCTAGTCTCTGGTAACTACTATTCTACTTACTGTCTTTATGAATTTAACTGCTTTAGATGCTTCATATAAGTGGAATAATATAAAATTTATCCTTTTTTCCTGGCTTATTTCACTTAACATAATTTTTCAGTGCCTTGTTATAGAATGTATTAGAACTACATTCCTTTTATGGTTAAAATATTCATTGTATGCTGGTGTAATTTATAACTGAAATGTCCCCCAAAGGCCCACTTAATAAAGCATTGGTTTCAAGCCCATAGCACTATTCTGAGTTGGTAAAGATTTAAGAGGTGGGGCCTCACTGAAAAAAGTTAGGCCAAGGAGGACATGCCCTTGAAGGGGAATTGGGCTGGCTCTTTCTCTCTCTCTCCCTCCCTCTGTCTCTCCCCGCTCTCTCCCTCTTCCCCACTCCCTCCTGATCTCCATAAGGTGAGTAGATTTCTCCATTATGCATGTACTCCTTCCATGACGTATTGTTTCACCACAAACCCCAAAGTAATGGACCATCCAACCATGGACTGAAACCTCCAAAACATTGATCCAGTATATGCCTAATCCTTTTTAAATTGATTGTCTCTGGTATTTGTTACAGTAACAGGAAGCTAGCACATGTATTTATATCACATTGTTTAGTCATTTGTCTATTAGTGAAGATTTGCATTTTCATCTCTTTGCTATTGTGAATATTACTGCTATGAATATGACCATACAAAAAAGAAATCCTTAATCATATTTTACCTCTGTCTCCAAAGGAGTTAATAGTGATGCATGAGTATTCTTTGTAGCACAAGTTCTTATTCTCACATTTATGTCTTCAATATAGTATAAAGATGCACATTATTCTTGAATAGTACTGCCTGAGCACTTAATGGTTATTAATAATTTTTAGTTGTTTTACATTCTTTATCTTAAAAATGCTGAAGGCTCTACATTTTATTAAGAAGTCACATAGTTGTACCCACCCAAATGTCTTCTACACAGAGTACACCAAACTTTGGTCAGTGAATAGCTACAATGAAAATGAAGACTTAAAACCATAGAATACTTTTCATCAGTATAGATTATTACCACACTGGTCCTGAGTATACTGAGACTGAATCTGTTTTTGTTCATCTCCTTTGTTTTATTTTGTTTTTTGGTACTGGGAATCAAACTCAGGACGCTGGGCTTGCCAGGCAGGCGCTTGTGCCACTGAGCTACATCCCAGGCCCTGTTCATCTACTTTGACTTAACAGCTGTTCATTAAGACAGTGTGTAACTTTGTACCACTGAACAGGATAACTTCAATGAGAACCAAAGTAGTGTCTCATTACTAATTTCAACTTCAAAACTATAATTATAGAGTAAACTTTAATCTTTACTGAATAATAAGTAATATTATCACGAGCCAAGTGCATAGGTGCCTGGGACACATGTAACCCATGCTTAAGGGTTACATGTGTAATCTGCTCTAGCTCTGATATCCATAAAGTAATATCAGTCAGTAGCTGAACTCCAAAGAAGTTGTTATTAAATACATATTTTAAAATTTAGCTTTCAAATACATTAAGGGATCTTAGCATTTAAAAGAACCTACTGTTATATACAAGATCTATCATATCATCTAGTAATTCCATTCCTCAGTTTATATACAGAAGAATTGAAGGGATAGAGTTGAACAAATCAATGTTTATAACAGCATTATTCACAGTAGCCAAAAGGTAATGATACAACTCAAGTACCTAAATTAAATAAAATGTGGGATATACCTACAATAGAATATATCCAGCCTTCAAAAAGAATTAAATTTTGATATACACTACAATGTAGATGAACCTTGAAAAGGTGATGTCAGTAAAATAAAGACATAGAATGACAAATACTTCATGAGAGACCTAGAATAGGCAATTTTATCAAGACAGAGACTGGAATAAATTCTCCAGTAACATGGGGAGGGAGGAGGAGATAATTGTTTAATGGGTGCAGTGTTTTTTGCTGGAGATGATGAAAAAGTTTGGGGTATAGATGTGATGGTCACACAACAGGTGTAATGTTTTCAGTGTCCCTGAATTATATATTTAGAATGGCTAAAATGATAAATATTATGTTATGTATATGTTAAATAATAAAAAATAACCTTTCTTTTTGGTATAAAATAGCCCTTTCACACAATGGCATTTGATGAAAGAGACCACGTGTCTGAGTCGGGTTGGTTGCTTTGGTTTGCAGGCTGCTGGTTCTCAAATCGGGATGATGGTCAATTCCTTCACCAACGTCTTGGTGGCCATGATCATCGCCTTCCTCTTTAGCTGGAAGCTCAGCCTGGTCGTAGTGTGCTTCTTCCCCTTCTTGGCTTTATCAGGAGCCCTACAGACCAAAATGTTGACAGGATTTGCTGCTCAAGACAAAAAGGCTCTGGAGAAAGCAGGGCAGGTAAGCCTATGTCTCTAAGTTTCTGCTTATGAGTGAACGGCTGTGTGGCAAACTGTTAAAAATGGAAAATACAAAGAGACTTAGGAATCCATAAGCCCACAGACATGCACAATTAGCAGCCTCCCACCAGCCTTCTGCACATGTGACCAGACCCAGAGTCTGTGACCACAAAGCTAAAATGCACAGATTTCAGCAGGTGAGGAGAAATAGTGGGGTAAACACAGATGTTTACATGTTCAATTTTCTCTAAAACTGTTCTATATTCCACATCACAATTTGTTGTATTCTCACTTGCAGGGGTATAATAGTTCAGTTTCTATGAGATTTTCTCAGGTTAATGGTTTCCCTGAGATCTGCTGGCCACAGAAGGAACGGGCAGAACTTTTTAATGACACAAGCTTTCTGTTGTCACACTTTAGTGTCTTCTAGGCTCATGCAGAATGCCTTTTGCAAATAGAATCATGAGCTGCAGTTTAGGCTTCAAATATACTTAAGTGTTAACTATGCCTGTGACATTAACTATGTCAAAAGTCTATTCTAATTAGCATCTGGTCATCAAGGAGTAAATGAGAGGATGATGACATGAACATTTTTCAGGTTAAAAAAAATCACACCCACACATGAACACATTCATTACTGACAAATTCAGTATAACCAAAGCTTTGTATATTTTCATGGAACAATGGAACAGATGTGACACTGCTCAATTAGACAAAGCCAAAGGATTTTATATGCCAGTGATATAATGTATCCACTTTTATGCCTTTCTAAAGGGTAGGACCCTAATTTAGAAAGATTGATTAATCATCTTAGAGTACAATTGAAACACACATTTATAATGTAGACAGAATAACATTAATTTTAAGTTAAATAATTTTTGATCAGGTTAATTTTTAAGCAAAGTAGAACATAATATTTTAAATTTATACTATGAGTAGTCTTTTGTCTCAGAAGATATCTAAAGATAGCCACTGTAGACATTTCAAATGAAATTAGCAAGGAAATACAAAGCTTGAAAAGTAATGCATGGGTACTTTCTTCACGCTTCTCTCCCTCAGAAGTAGAGGAAAAAAGCCACGCTAAAACTAATAGAACCTGAATTTAGCTGACAAAATCTCACGGTACAGTATGGTTGACCTCTAGCAACTTCTCTGTATTGTCAGATGCTACAATTCCACCTCCAATTTGTAGCAGATCCTGCCATTTGTATGAGATCTAATCCATTTAGTTGTTAAAATATCACAAAGGGGTTATTTCTGCTCTTTTATTCCTAATACTCTTTAATTTTTCAGATTACCAATGAGACCCTCAGTAACATTCGTACTGTTTCTGGGATTGGAATGCAGAAGCTCTTTATTGAAGAATTTGATGCTGAGCTGGAGAAGTCATTCAAAACAGCCATTAAAAAAGCAAATGTCTATGGAATCTGCTTTGGCTTTTCCCAAGGCATACCATTTATTGCAAATTGTGTTTCCTACAGATATGGAGGCTACTTAATTCCCAATGAGGGGCTCCATTACAGCTATGTGTTCAGGTGAGAAATATCCCACCAAGGTCAGAAAAGAGAGACATCCTAAGCAGGAGTTGCCTGGTTGTATCACTTAGGTTTTTTTGCTGCCTAACAAACCATCCCAGACTCAGTGTCTTAAAACATCTAGGATTTACTACTTCTCAAGACTGTGGATTATCAGGTAGTTCTTCTGGCCTGATCTGAGTTAGGCTTCAGAGTATACACCTGTCCCCGCATGGCCTCTCCAATAGTCAGCTTGTTTTCTGCATGAATGATCTCAGAGTTCTAAATGCAACAAAGAACAAACACCAGTGTGCAAGAACTTTTTAAGTCTCTCCGTGTGTCACATTTTCTGATGTATCTTTGGCCAAATAAAGTCATATAATCCAGCCTAGATTTAAAGAATAGAGACATTGAACCCATCACCAATGAGAGGAGTAAAACAATCATATTGCAAAGGAATTCATGATACGATGAATTAATGTGATCATCTTTATGACCTACTACATTTGCTAATGCTGAGAAACCCCAGAAGCCTTGAATAAGATGGTTCATAGGGCTGTCATATTTGACTTCTCTAGTCTCATGAAAAGACAGCAGGCTTCTAGCTGACTTCCCATAGGTAGAGACAATATAGACCACATAGGGCCCCTTAAACTCCTTTCTTAATAATGCCAGAGTCTTCTTTTCTCATAAGATAGCTTTGAGCCCAGTTCCTCACATTTCTAGAGGCTAGAGTCTACAGACTGGGAGCCCATGTACATGGGTGCAGTGGGGGGCAGTGAGGGAAAGTCTTCAGGAAAAGTAGTCCCAATAAGAATTTGTTCTCTCGAGTTTCATTCACCAGCCGTGAGTTCTTTTTCACCTGTTATCTTTCTCCCAGCACTTTTCTAATCCTCTGCTATAATCACAGGAGAATCTCTTTACTAAATATTTGATATTAAAATCTACTAACCCAATCAGAAAACACCAACTATTTCTTTTTGTTAGTTTATACACAACTTTTCAGCAACTATTTGACAACATGTGAAAATTGAAGGACTACAGAAAACTCCCAGTTTCTGACCTTGCTTTAAAAACTGGAAAGTCATTGTTCATCATTTTTCATTTCATTTTGAATGTTTTCATTCCTTAAGCTTTGGAGTGGACCTCTGGAGATATTTGGATTTGCAACTCTGCTTATAACTTTGCATTAAGGCACACAAACGCATCTGCTGCCCTCACCTTCATGCTGGCCAGGCTCTCTGTGAATAGGGGGACAGGTGGACAGTTTGGAGGACTTCCTCTCATATCATAGTCTATGCAGTGGCAAAGATATCTCTCATCATATTTATCATTCACTCATTTGTTCTTTCATTAAATCTATGTTGACTATTATTAGAGCTGAACCAAGAAGAAGGGTATAGGCAGTCATCTTTCTAATCTTGTCTGAACCATGAGTTACATAAAACTGATACATTGTCCATTATGATCTAATATTAGAATTTTAAGAGAATTAACCCAATCTTGGGTGATCTTTCAGTCCCCACTCCTTTTTTAAAAAGTAAATGTCAAACTTTCCCCCCTCAAACAAACAAAAAATATGTTATAAGTTGTTGTGGCAGACAACAGGTAGGTCTGAGCCCTACCCTGTTCACTTCATCCCTCACCCATTTTTTTATAGAACACAATTGAAAATTGCCAATCTCTAACCCCCGCTTACCCAGATAGGTCTGAAATATCTTGCTCAAGGCTGTGGTCTTCCCCTAGCAGAACCAGGTCTTGACCCTACACTCTTGACTTTTCCACCATCACCAACCACATCCCAACACTCTGTAACCTGGGTATCTGTCTGATTGCAGGGTGATCTCTGCAGTTGTGCTGAGTGCAACAGCAGTTGGGAGAGCCTTCTCTTACACCCCAAGTTATGCCAAAGCTAAAGTGTCAGCTGCACGCTTTTTTCAACTGCTGGACCGAAGACCTCCAATCAGTGTATACAGTAATGAGGGTGAAAAATGGGTAAGTGTTGAGCCGGGGAAATTGTGCATATGTGTGGTATGTGTTTGGATGTGGTCAGACAGTGCCACTCAGCTTCCAAATTTCTGCTTTCATTTACGTGCACTCAGAACAGAGAGATAATAGATATGTGAATGAACATGAGTGAAGTAATCAGCATTTATATCATCCATAAAGTTGGCATTTGAATAAAGCAATAATATGTAATTTTATTAGTCCATTGTCTATTACTATAACAAAATACCTGAGGCTGCTCAGTGTATAAGGTTCACAGTTTTGAACGCTCAGAGCCAAAGATCAGGTGGCCCTGATTCAGCCTCTGCTGATGGCCCTTTATCAACATCACCTCACAGTGAGGAGCATCACGGCAGAAGCTCATGCTTGAGGGAAGCTGCAGTGGGGAGGGGCAAGTCTCACTTTTTTATAATAAGCTTCTCTCAGGGACAAACTAGGGTCTAAAAAGAACTTACATTAATTCTTCTGGAAGGCAGTGCCCCCAGTGACCCAGTCACCTCACACTATACCTCACCGCTTAGATGTGCCATACCACTTCTCAACATCATGACACTAGGAACCAAGCTTCCAGGGCAAACCGCATCCAAGCCCATCACACCAATGAAGGCTAAAATCTGTGTCATCTAAAGCACATTTACTTCCAGAATAAATGAAACCAGATGTCTTTTGAGACCTACACAATTATGATATTTTGGTATGAAATGTAGAAAAACAAGTTCTTCCTGTCCAACGACATTGATTGAACTCATATTTATCTGGACACAGATTTCAGCTCATCCGAATGCTCAGAAAATTAATTCAATATCAACAAGAAATATTTTTTCTTCTAATTGATTATTCCCAGAAGTGTTTTTAATCTTTCCTATTTTTTTAAAATCTCCATATGTTCAAGAAAGCAAAGCAAACCAGAACACATTAGTAAAGGTAAACTGGATTCTGGAATGTTTTTAAATTGGTCAAATGACCTGTTTTTCCTTCAGCTCAATACAAGTATAGTCCCTGTGTGGTCTATTAAATGTCTATTCATATCTAGAGTTCATAATTCAGATTTTAAACACCACAAAGTATTCACCTTTGCTCTACAGACCTGAGGTAACTTTCTCTCAGAGTCATTTCGAGTATGATGTTATTGTAGTAAGTCTTTCGGGGAATAGGGCTGCAGAGGTTCAGATAGTGACTGGTTTCTGTGATGTATTATTATCTTTTAGCTATTCTCTTCCATGTGGTGTGTAAAAGAGTGGATGACAAGAAAATCTCCTTAGATTAGAATGGAAATAAAAGATCAGATGTCTTTAATTTTATTGCTCAATTCTTCTTTATGCTACACCTGCCAGAATAGGGAATAGGATGTCATTTCATTGAGTTTTATGTCTATATTTGGCAACAAGGTATGTAGATTTAGGTGCATTTTCAATATTCTAGGCTGCAGTAGAAGCATACGTAATTCCAATCTTCCCATCCACAGGACAATTTCCAGGGGAAGATTGACTTTGTTGACTGTAAATTTACATATCCTTCTCGACCTGATATGCGAGTTCTGAATGGTCTCTCAGTGTCGGTTAATCCAGGACAGACAGTGGCGTTTGTTGGGAGCAGTGGGTGTGGCAAAAGCACCAGTATTCAGCTGCTGGAACGGTTCTATGATCCCGATGAAGGGAAAGTGGTAAGAACTGCATATGCTTTTGAGAATTTCGCTTTCTACCAAAAATTTCTGTAAAAGTGGTCTCCAAGATTGTGCCTTGTCAGGCTTCCTCTAAAGTGCTTGCCTCGGGCACTTAGCCCATTTCCAGCCATTTGCCGGTTGACCTGATTCTACCTCCCAATTTCTATCATATTCTCCCCGGTTCCAGATGGCCTGCTGACCAGTTAGGCAAAGAAAATTGGGCACAACGCAAAGCTGGAGATGAGTGTGTTTGGCAAGAGCTCTCCCTTACTGGTAAATGGAGCAGAACGTGTAGATTAATCAGGAAACTAATGGTCAGGAATGGAAAAAAGTGGGGATGATGAGGGACACAATGATAAATGAGGAAGGAAGGGGATTGATCATGAAAAATCAAAGAAAATCCTGGTTCCAGAAGCTTAAACCTAAATGATGTAAGGAGCTCAAATTGATAAAGCTTTGGCAAGGATATGTGAAACACTGGTGAATTGTTTTGTTGTTTATTTCTTTCACAGTATTTCTTTCCCTTTTCCACCCAACTAATCTATTAAAAGATAGCAAAGTCAAGTAATGAAAAAGATTTTAAACAAAAGTAACATTGTTTTGTATTTCTTTGCTGAAAGACAACTATTTTAGCTACTTGATGTTTTAAAATCTCTCACTGCTTACTTCCATGTCTCTAAAATATTCATGCTGCTGTTTTCATGATTTAACAAATTCAGCCTCTTTGTAGACTTTTTAATTTGTTTGTTTGTTTGGTTTCTTGAGACAAGGTCTTGCTAGTAGTTCAGGCTGGCTTTGAATGTACTATGGAGCCCAAGTTGATCTTGAACTTCATGGCAATCCTGCTGTCTCAGCCTCTTGAGTGCTGGGATTGCAGGTGTGCACCACTGTGCCCGGCTTTGTTAATTTATTTTTAAGACATGAAAATTAGCTTACCTTTACCATTCCTCTCCTTTTACCCAGTTATCTCAATATAGTTACAGCATTTTAAATCTATTTATAAATTTGACTAATACAATTTTTATTGCTTTGCTACCCAATACATAATATCCCCTGAATTCTTGCTTTCTAAAATGAGAATGTTAACCATCTTATCTTTTACTTCTGGCTTCCTCCTTTTACCTCTCAGGTTTTAACCATTCTTTAATATTACCAAGAGCATACAATCTGCATTGTTATAACAGTATCATTCTGGTTTTTACTATAGGTTGAGTCTAAAATTTCAAAATTAATTAAAAGCTTTTATTTTACTTATGTAAATATTGTTCACTTCAAGTAGTGAGATGTTATAGAATATTTTCCTTCTTGACAGTGTTTTACAAGAGGCCCTCTTTTCTCTTGTTTTCTCTGCCTTCTAATTTTTAAAAAATATTTTTCCAATGTCTCTGTTTTGCCATTTATTCTGAGGGCCTACTTCTTTCCTTCATTTTTATAAAGGTTTGGACTAATTTCTGCCTATTAAACATTTGTTACCCAATGAAGGCTTTACAATGTTTTCTTAGTCTAGATCCCTTATTTTCTTGTTCCCGTATCTTGCCCTTTCTTGGATTTCACCCTAGTTTTGTTGAAACATATCCACAAGTAGTTTTCTAAGAAGTGGGTCAGAGGTATGTGTTTAAAATTGTTTTATTTTGCTTCATACTTGATCAGTAATTTAATCCTAGTATTTTAAAGTGTCCCATCTGATTTGCTGAAGAGTATAATTGTCATTGAAATGAAGGTAGATAAAATTATGGAGACAATTGCTAACAGAAACTTGAAAGAGGCAACTAAAGATTCCCTTGACTAAAGCAAGTAAGCAAGCAAAGAGATATTGGCAGAATCCAGGAAGTTATGTAAATAAGTAGCAAAACTTTATTGTCATAATTTATAATCACTTTGTTATTAACCTTGATGTAAAGATTTTCAGTTGGTTGAAAGAATGTGGTGATTGAATGTACAAAACATATTGCACTGAAGATCCAATCTCTCAGTAAGGGAAAAGGCTCAGTTTCCCAAAATGCCAACTCTCTCATGCTCATCAGCTAGGTAGACTGTGAACTATGTGAGATGCTGGGGCCTGAACCTATCATGTGTGACCTCTCCAACAATAGTGTGAATACTAAGTGCACTTCTCTGAATGCACACAGCAAATGTTGGATCACAGGTTGGAAGCAAGGCCCATGAAGAAATAATTTTTTGCTTCTATTTTATAAGCACAGTGTATTTTTGTCGCATCATTGTGAAACATGTTTACAAACATTTTTAAGTAGAAGAATACCACCTTATCAATTTTTAAAATTCTCTTTGCTCCTAGGGAAGCTACCAAATGCAATTATTTAATATTTTCAATGCTTAATTAGCTACCTATGAGGTGTCCAGTACTCTTTGGGGGAGATTCCTAAGGAGCCTAAAGTATGTCTTCTGCCTTCTAGGAGCTCAAAATGCACATGTACATGTACAACACTAACAGAAAGCTTGATTTCTAGGTGCTAAGTTGTGCTTTGCAGATATAAGCACAGTACTGTGGAAATCAAGTAGAATAGGATGAATGAGGGGTAGATATTGTTGATGAATGCCTGATATTTTTTCTAATGTTTGCTTTTTTATTGCTTGGAAATGATCTAAAATATAATCTATTCACACCATCAAATATAATCTTTTTTCTGATATCACAGGGCCAGATACAGTTGTAATATTCTAGGACTCGTTAGTGAACCAGCTCTAATGGTAGATGTTTGAGTACTATACTTTTGATCTGCCTTCTAGAATGTGAGTTTCTAGAAAACAGATGCTATGTTTTCCTTGTATAACAAATACAGTCTGTTTTGCATGGAATCTTTGTGGCAGATGATTCTGTATATGATTGTTGACTAAGTGAACAAAAGGTTTTTTTCTTTCCCTGGATTTATTACCTCAGTTATTCAGAAAGTGCTATCTGTAAAATCAAGAACACAGACTTGATCCTTATATTGGCCAATAACTTTGCATAGAAAAATCCTTTCATAGCTCACAGAGCTTCACAGTAGAACAATTCTGGATACTTACAGAGATTATGTTGCACCAATGTATAAGGAGAATTTTTCAAACTAAATACTATCCTGAGTGTCTTTCTAGACACTGTACCATCTGTAGAGCTAGAATTTGGGAAAAACAAAACTATAGCCTCATTGGTGTTATAACCATTCCTGAGAGACACCAGTTCTAGAGGTCAAAAGAAAAATAATTCATTTTTTTTTTCATCACAGGAATTGAACTCAGTACCTTGCACTTGCCAGGCAGGAGCTTGTGCCACTGAGTTATATTCCCAGCCCAAGAATTAATTCTTCAGGGCTCTGGGAATGTTGTTTCTTAGAGAAAACAAATATCTTGCATACCACTCAGCTCCAGAATATGAACGTTACCCACTGCTGGAATTCTAAAAATTTGTGCCCTTTCCCATCATCTCTATCGGCAGATGATAGACGGACACGACACCAAAAAAGTGAACGTCACATTTCTCCGCTCGAACATTGGGATTGTTTCCCAGGAGCCGGTGTTGTTTGCCTGTAGCATAAAGGACAACATCAAATATGGGGACAACACCAGAGATATTCCCATGGAAAGAGTCATAGCAGCTGCAAAGCAGGCTCAATTGCATGACTTTGTTATGTCACTCCCGGAGGTGAGTACCAGGCTTGTCGCTCTCTGACAGAGATGGGGCAGAGGTAGGATGACCAAAAGTGTTATCGTCGTGGTTTCAAGGAGGAGTTCAAAGGCAATACAATTTATTTCTCCATGTCATAGTACTGTCTTAGTCTTTTCATAAATGTCCTTCATTAACATATTTTATAGTTTGGGAAAGTATTATCCACCAAAATGGATGCTATCGAATCTGTTACCCATAAAGCAACACCACAGGAAGTTCTAGCTTAGCACTGTGGGGAAAGCCTGAGATCTAGAACAGACAGGGATGGATTTGAGTCCAGGCTTTGTCACTCACTAACTGTGTATGTGTGTGACTTTGGAATAATTGCTTATCTATTCTGAGATCATTTATTCCATCTGCAAAAACCAAAAATAAAAACATTAAGATGAAAGAATACACTTAACAGCTGCACAAAGAAAGCTGCTGCTGCTATTACTGACACGATGTTTCAGTATTTGGTGCTGAGTGCTATGTGTGGTGGTGGTTTATTGCCTTTTTCTTAGACTTGCCCCTAACACCCTTCACTGAGCACCTCATCCCTACAGTAACAAAGGAGGTGTCATGGGCCTCACGTGGCTTAGCTGAGCATCTGTCAGGAGGCAATGGAAGTAAACAAACCCTGATGTGGAAGGCAGGATAGGGTAGTGGTCAAGGGTGGACTCAGAAGCTAGATACACCTGGATTTAGATTTCACTTTTGCTGCTTATTTGTCTTTATACACATTTCTTGCTTTTTTATGTCTAAGTTTTAGAATTTTTAAAATAGGGAGATTAAAGTTTCTGTGAATATTAAATGATGTCCTGGCATAATCCTTGATGCTCAATAAATATTCTGTGACTTTTAACTATTAATGTAGCCATGTCAAATGTCTAAGTAGACATTTTTCTTCCTAATTTTATCAAAAACAACAAATGTGTAAAGTAGATAGTGAGTGATATTGCGTTTTTCAGATGAGTTTGAGGCCCAAAGAAAATTAAACAAGTTGTTTATAATCATAAAGCTTGTAAGTAGCAGAATGTAATTTCAAACCAAGGCTTATATTTCAAAATATCATTGTTCTAATGAAGGAGGGGGCCAGAGGTCTCTAAAAAAGCATTTCCATTCTGGGGATTATTCCCTTTTGCAAAGATTTTCCAGATAAAAGACTAGAAATTAGGTAGTCTCAAATCAAGGAGGATCTCCTGTACAGGTTCTTACCTGGACACAAGGAGAAAGAGATTGAAAATATAAGCCTAAAAGAAATGCAGATGTGGGTGATAAAATTCCCTTGTTTCTCAGCACAACTTTCTTTTTTTTTTTTTTTTATATTCCCAAGTGGGTTTGATATCCTTATTAAAACTGTGCTGTCCACATAGCACAGGAGCATTGACTATTTCTACTTCTCAAGCTTTCCACACTTTTTCCAGAAATATGAAACTAACGTCGGGACCCAGGGGTCTCAACTCTCTCGGGGGGAAAAACAGCGCATTGCTATTGCTCGTGCCATTGTACGAGATCCTAAAATCTTGCTACTAGATGAAGCTACTTCTGCCCTAGACACAGAAAGTGAAAAGGTACGTATTGATTTTCTAATGGCTTAGATCATCATGAATGAATCTTTTGCCATAAGATTTGTCCCTAGAAAATGGCACTATTTCCAATGTTCTGATTCCTTAACAGTAGAAATTGGCAATGCTTTGTGGAAGCAAAGACAATAATCTGAAGAAAATCATTTAACATAAGATTGGTTGAAATCAAATTTTTAACTTTATTTTTAAGATTCATAGGCTATGTGACATCTTTTCCCCAAAGGGAAATAATTAACTTTCTTAAATAAAGTAAAATAATTTAAGTCACCTGGCAGGTATAACATGTTTTATTGTTCTCAAGTTAAGTAACAGGGCACATAGGCCACATATAACACAAGCAAGGTGGTATGTGATATGCATGAGGGGAGATGCATTGGGAAAAACACAATTATGAAATCCAAAATTTATAACTATCACTTTAGAAACCAGGAATCCTTTTGGACACAGCTAAATGTCACCAGTAAAGAAAACTATCAGGAATGACCATTTCATTACCCCCTACATTTTTTCCTTGATTTCATTTTAGTAAACTAGATCAAGTACTGTAAACTTAAATAGTGGCTTCACACTTATGCCCATGTTCACTTCACTGAAGTTTCTCAGCCTGTGAGCTGGAATTTAAATCACTGATGCATTGAATCAGTAAACACTTGCTTAATCCTCTCCTGTATTGAGTCTTTGGATTTACCACTAAGTATGGAATTGTTACTCAGCGAATATTGAAACAGTCTCACTGTGGTGGGCTATGAACAATCATGTGTCTACATCAGCTTGTTATTCTCTTCTTGCAGACAGTGCAGGTTGCTCTAGACAAAGCCAGAGAAGGTCGGACCTGCATTGTCATTGCCCATCGCCTGTCCACCATCCAGAGCTCAGACATCATTGTTGTTATATCCCAAGGAGTAGTCATTGAAAAAGGAAGTCACGAAGAACTGATGGCCCAGAAGGGGGCCTACTACAAGCTGGTCACTACTGGAGCCCCCATCAGTTGACTTCACGCAAGAACTCTATGTACCAATGATGCTCAGAGTACAGGTGTGCTGCAGGTTGTTGCATCTTTACAGGGCAGTGTTAATATCCTATGTTTGTAGACATGGTCACACACTGGGATCCAAGCTAATTTCTAATGACCTTCAATAATAATTAAGTTTGAGATGTCCATATAGAAAATGAAAGAAACCAGGGTCCTTATGAGTAAGAATCCAAAGCGAGAGAAGCCCGTGAGCATCTCATTTTGTACCATAGACCCCGAGAAAGGCTCAGGATGTAAAGTCCTTGGTCTTTCTGGAAGTGGGGAGAGAGGGACACATGGGGCTGAAGATAGAAGAATGGGCTGAAAACCTGTGAAGAAGCAGAGACATAGAGCCCCTGCCACAGGCTGGCTGGTTTAGCCCAGTGCTGGCAGAACCGTTAGCGGCTCTCTCTCCAGGGGAGCTCACAAGTAGGCTTGCACATGAGGACACAGACTGCAGTTAAAGTGGTGGTTGACAGAGGAGACAGGATTGAGTGTAAGGAAATATGTGAACAGAAAATCTTCCAGCCATCTTCCTCTGGCAGGAGACTGGAAAATGAATGGTCAATACAGGAAAAGATATCTACGGTCTCAATGCTAAAAATCTTTCCAAAAACATCCCTAGCCAGATAGATTATTCTACTGTGAAGCACACTGGCTAACAACATGCACGCGCTGGCTCAGAGCTTTCCAGGCTTTTCAGTGTCTCATTCTTGCATAGGAACAGACTGTCCAAGATCTCCAGGAAAAACATTAACATATAAAGCAAAAGCAGTGACAGAAGACCCCCCCACACACATACACACAGAAGGGAAATTACAGGCAACAGAGATAGTGCGAAGATTAGGAAAACACTCACATTCACTCAATGAGACAAGAGATACTTCCGCATATTCAGGTAAAAACAGGAGTCCGGAAGAATGAACATATACAAATAAGCACACAAAAAAGAGCTCTTGATAGTAGAAATAAAAATTTAGCCCCTACCCAACTGTTCCATCATCACAGTGTTGTCTTCCACTGTTTTGCTCCCAAGCCACTCTGTGTTTATATATTTTCTTCCCATGGTGAAGAAATGAGCTTATGACTACAAAGCATAAGCCTGTTCAGTATTTCTTGCTAAATAACTGCTAAGATGGTTTAACAGGTTAACTGTTCAGGATGGAACTATTGCTGGTTGCCAAGTTGAGGAGGTGGAGGGGTAGAGGAATTCAGTCTAGTTGTGAAAAAAGACAGTTCTGAAACTTGCAGAATAAAGATGCCTACTAGAAGGACTTAAATGGAACACATGCTCATTCTCTAATCTTGAAAAAAGGAGCTAAAGTCTGCTTGTAAAGTGGATTTTCAAAGAGAAAAACATGGACGTTGTCCTGGGAGGTTGCCAGTTTCCTAGAATGGAATTTATGTGGTATAAAAAAGGAATGAATGAGTTGGCTTTTCAAATAAGGCATTTGAAAATTATTTATGAGTGGAGAAAGACTGACCAGACAGAATGTAAAAATGATTTGGGAAAACAATTGCTTTCTGAGACTCAGTGACTAGGGAGAAGATTACAACTTCAAAAATGAATAAATAAATAAAGTTGCACATTTATTTTTTAATACCAGGGGGTGTCAGTGTCTCCATTTTATCCTGTATCCTCTGCCTATCACTGGCAAAGATTTGGTCTCTACAATTTGACATTATTAATATTTCTCTGATGGCTGAAGAATTGACACTATCACAAGTCTTTATTTTCTATTTTGGTACTTATCACAAGTCTTTAATTTCTTAATGTTTTTATGACATGTTTGTGCTGGGATTAAACTTTCTCTGTAACCCTAGTAATTAAAATTTATGTAGTTTAAAAAAGGTTACAGAAGAAAAAACAGGATTGGAAGTTAAGTTGGGGAAATTTCTCTGAGGGTAAAATGAAAAGATAGATATGAAGATTATCTATGGCCATACCACCCTGGATGAACCTGATCTCATTAGATATGAAAATTAGGGGAAAAAATTTAGAGGAGCAATTCTGGAGGTACAATAAAAAATTTAGAGGAGCAATTCTGGAGGTACCCTGGATGAACCTGATCTCATTAGATATGAAAATTAGGGGAAAAAATTTAGAGGAGCAATTCTGGAGGTACAATAATTAGGTAACAACAGGTAGCTAATATTAGCTAATAGTTAGCTAATTAATATAAGTAATAGCAGTTCCACAGAGTTCAGAGAAATATGAGAAAGAAATTTTTAAAGAAATAGTTTCAAGAACATTTCCTATAGTTGAAGGATATGGCATATTGTTATAAAATTTTAGAAAACTGGGAAAAAGGAGAAGCTACTAAAATTTTCCAAAACAGGAAAACATGCTAGAGAAAATAGGCAAAGAATTATGATGGCATAGAAACTCTCTACAATAAAACTAAAAGAAGATATAAAAATTTGTCTTCCAATTTCTTAGAAGAAATTTTTCTATACCCAGCCAACTATTCACTGGATTTTATTTTATTTTTTTATTTTGAAGAGAAAAAAATAACAACAACAATAAAGACCAAAAAAAATACAAAACAATAAAAACAATACAGAATTTCAAAACAAGATGATAGGAATTAACCATGGTTATTATATTACATACTGTTATCTTCAACAAAGTTGCTCAGATTACCAGATGTAACAATGCAAGACTGATCAAACAATTAAAGACAATAACAAGTAATAAAAAGACATTAGAAACAATACAGAGCTTCACTAAACAAGATGGTAGGAATTCAGCAATGCTTATTATACTGCATATTGCTGTCTTCAAATTAGTCATTCTGATTACCAGATATAAGTATGAAAAATTGGTCAAGAGAAAAGAAAAAAACAAATTTAAGCCTTAACTGTCCCTTTCAATAAACCAATAGACATCAGCAATACACTTGTCTCAGCTATCCTTGTATATAGATATATTTTTTCTTTTTTAATTTTAAAGAGAAATTATCAAAAGCAAAATCACAAAAACAAAGGCATAAACATAACATAAAAACAATAAAAATGATATAGAGTTTCAAAACAAGGTGATAGGAAATTAATAATGTTTGTTATATTACATATTGTTGTCTTCAAAGTAGTTACTCAGATAACTTGATATAGGCATGTAAGATTACACATTAACTGTTCCTTTCAATTACACATTAACTGTTCCTTTCAATAAACCAATAGATATTAGTAGTACAATTATCTTAGCTATATTGTGGATATAAATATACCTATTCTTTCCCTTCTTTCTTTTTTTTTCTCTTTTCCCTCATCCCAGTTGTTCTTTCTGATTTGAGCACTTTCTTTCAAAAATGGAAAGACATTCCTTGCTCATGCATAGGAATAATCAGCATTGTGAAAATGGCCATACTCCCAAAATTGTTATATAGATTCAATGCAATCCTGATGAAAATACCATTGGTATACCTTACAGATCTAGAGAAAACATTCCTAAAATTCATCTAGAACCAGAAGGAACCCAGAATAGCAAAAGCAATCCTGGGCAACAAAGGCAAGGGAGGAGGTATCACAATCCCTGACTTGAAATTGAACTACAAAGCTACTGTGATAAAATCAGCATGGTACTGGCAAAAAACAGACCTGAAGATCAGTGGAACAGATTAGAAGATGCAGACACAACCACAAACACACTCAGCCACTTTACCTTTGACAAAGGGGTCAATCATGCTCACTGGAAGAAAGATAGCCTTTTTAATAAATGGTGCTGGAAAAACTGGCTTTCCACATGCTGATGACTAAAACTAGACCCATGCCTATCACCATGCACCAAAATAAAGTCAAAGTGGCCTAAAGATCTAAATATTAAACAGAAACACTAGATAAAAAAACAAAACAAAACACTAGATCTTCTGGAAGAGAAAGTAGGTGGAAGTCTTGAAGGCATAGGGGTATGCAAAGAGTTCATGAGAAAAACAAAACTGCATGGAAAATACTTCAAGAATCAACAACTGGGATCTCATCTTATTGAAAAGTTTTTGCATATCAAAAGGAATCACCAACAGAGTAAAAAGAAAATCCACGAATTGGGATAAAGCTTCGTTCAAGCAGTTTGGCCAGCTTTCAATGGAATTTTTAATTTCCTGAATATCTGTTTGAATCTGTTTCATGCATTCTAGTTCTTTCCTATATTCCTCATTCAAGTTTTCCATCATTTTTCTATGCTCTTCTATTTTCTTATCTATGTCTTATTTGGATGTGCTGAGCAATTCTATCATTATTGCTGTCATTTCTTTTTTTACATGGAAGATTATTTCTGATCTGATGTCTTCTATGGCCTGATAGAGTTTTTTCTTTACTTCAGTTGCTATCATTTCAGAAATTTCAGGCATGTGATTTCCAAACTGTTCTGTGGTGATGTCTCCTGAACTTGTTCTGGGTGGGGTGGAGGTCTGAGATTGCATTTTGCTTCTTCTTTTTGTCATTTTTGAAGATCCAGAAGTTCCCTGGAGCTCAGGCTCACTCCCACAAGTGGTAGGGCAAGGATCTGGAGGTTCCTGGTGCTCAGCGTGGCTCCCGTGATGGTGTGTGGGGACAGGGTGCAGTCGCCGGTGCTCTCAAAGCTTTCCAGAGTTCAGCTGGCTCTCACACCAGTGGGGCAGAGGCAGAGGTGGCTCACCAGGGTTCCTGAAGCTGTCCAGGGTTCAGCCCAGCTTCCACAAGGGTTCCAGGGGGTGTGTGTGTTGTGGTCACAGAGGCTTCACATGCTTCCCAGGACCCAGCCTGGTTCCCATGCCCTAGCTATTGGCTTTCAGGGAAAAGAAAAATTATACAGAAAAGAAATATATTTATGTCACACTACATGACTCGCCTGAGTATATTATTTATAAAGTCCTATCAATGTAAATGCTTAATGCTAGTCTAAACCAAAATCACAAATAGGTTATGGAAGTGAGAAGAAAATACATGCAGATTGTTGGGGATGGGCTACAGCATGGATATAAAAGACCTGGGTCATCATTTTCATTCATATTTCATAAAGAGAACTAAATACTTAAAATGTAAACAGATAACAATAAAACATCTAAATGTATGTATAAGTATTAATATGCATTTTATTTAACCTAGTATATCCAAAATATTGGCATCATAATATGTAATCAATATAATAATTATCACTGAGATATTTTACATTATTTTATTATACTAAATGTTCAAAATCTAGCATGTATTTAGATTTAAAGTGCGTCTTAGTCAAGAGTAGGCACATGTCAAGTTCTGCTCGCAGTATTCACCTGGTTGAGTTGACAAAAGGAAAAGAACTAAGAATGTTTAATGTAACCAAACATAACTATTAAAACTGCCATATCATCTAAACTCCCTGAGGATCTCTTCCCAAAACAAGTTTTGTTCCAGTGTAAGGATTGTTTATATTTTTTCTATTACTATTTATGAAAACTCAGAGCAACACATTCTCCAACTTCTTTTGGAAAGAGAGCCTCAGTCATTCCAAAATTTTCTGGAAGCATATGCTCGTAAGCTAGAAATGCTACTTGAGAAGAAAAAGTAGAAAAGTCATCCTGTAGATTCTTTCGTCTAAGATTTTTTTCCTACAGTTCCTCTGAGTCTATTCTGTCTGAGGAGTTTCTTTCCATGAGAAGACACGTCAAATTTAGTGTTTCACTCATGCATGGAATTTTTTAGCAATTATGTACTAATTTTTAAAAATTTAAATTTAAAAATGTGGAATATTTTGATGATTTGTCCTAATAGACTAAAAGAGATAGGATCCTAATTAGGTATAGTTTGCCACATATGTATTCAAGAATTAAACATGTGTTTCCCATTCCTGAGCAATTTCCAGAACATTGCCCTCAAGTTAGTTCAGGATTCTGCTTCTTATTTCCAACTAAAGATTTGATTTATTAAATATCTCTTATGCATATACCATCTCTCTGTAATCAGGTCACATAAGGATGTTGGTAGAGATTTTCAAAATGGCAAATTTCATTGCTGTTTCCAAACACATTTTGAGATAAATTTACATTTGTGTATTTGCTGTTATAAAACAAGTGTTATGCCCATTTATATTTTCTCCAAATTTCCAGGTCTAGTGAATAATCTTACCTGTGCATGAGGTGGCAGTTGAAAGTAACTTCAACAAACTTTTAGACCCAATTCTAATTTCCTTCACACTGTGTTCAACTAAATGCCAATTAATTTAAATGGATAGACTGTAAATAAAGCAATGCACATGATTATCATCTAATTAGCACTGGCCAGCATTATAATATGCTCATTAGTGAGTTGTATGGTGTCCTAAGGTTCATAATGAGTAATCAGGGTACACGTGATTGGCATGTAGCTGCATGGATGCAACTATTCAACCCAATAAATCAGAGCTAGGACAAAATGTGCCTTATAAAAAGAAACAAGAGTGTATTACCAGCTGGTGAATTGACAATTTCCGCCTTTCTATAACTCAGGTACTTCTACTGTCAGACACAAAGTCATAAATTCGTGAACAACAGAATAGCTGGAAATACAAGGGAAAATGCTTGCCCAAGGTGAGCCAGAACAAGTGCTTACAATTATCATGAAAGAGTACAGAAAAGAAAACAATTTTTGTGCTATCTTACAGGTTGTATG